CACTGASAGGATCCTTCCCAGTGCCAGCCCCGCTCGGGGCACTGCCCACTGCAGGTCAGGCACACGGAGTCTCATCCAYGAACTCAAAGGGTTGTTGCACCATATAGTCTCCTCAGCTATCAGAATCCCCCAGGACAACTCTTTTGAAGTCCCCTCCTGTTTGACAACACCCAAATAAAACTTCTCTCCTTGCTCGTGTCCCTCTCTCTGTCAATAACAAAACCCAGCCATCTGAGTGCTAAAGACACAAAATCATTTCACACCTCTCCCTCAGTTTCACTGAGTCTCTCAGTTTCATCAGCAGACTCACAATACTGATCACTCTACACAAACTCAGCTTATGGAAAGTTCAGTTTTCACTTTAGAAACCGGTTTGGGGTCTTGTGGTTTTAAAAACAAACTTGTCAAATGCATTGTCTTGTTTCCAAACTGACAACATTTTTGCAACAACTCTTAGTACTTATTTTTTAAAACAGAAAAAACAACCAAACAATCCTTATGCCTTGCAAAAGCACGGCAGTTTTTGGGGCAGGGCTGGCTTGGTGACTTCTGATCTGTGTCTGGAAGRCAAGGCTGGAATTGAATGCTCTTACCTTCATCTTCCAAGCACCCAACTTACTTTGTTTCCATTTTGCTACACCTTCACAGACCAAATCTCAAATATTAGCCCCTATGAAAAGCATTTGAAACATTTTGGAAATCGACAGCTCTTTCAGCTTTTCAGAAAAAAAAAAAAACAACTTACTGCTACTCTGGGACTGAAGTATATCATGACATCCAGTAAACTTCAGATCTATTTTTGAAGGGTTGATAAACTAACCACAAACATTACTTCAAGCTGATGTGACACAYGTAAACACACCTTGACAGAAGAGCAGCAATTATTTTAATGGCTTTAGGTTAAAGCCTTCATAGATTATTTTAATGTCAACTTTTTTTTATTACTTACTTTCAGTATGAACATATACCATCATGCAGATGTGCAGTAACTTTCAGGGAAAGAACACACTTACTACATTACCCTCACACTTAACAAAGAAAGTCAAACTACAATTACACTCCACGCAAAATGTAAGTGCAGCTTTATGTGACAGGCATGGGAATTCAGTTGTGACACTACAGGTTTCTAAACAACTTCTAATTAAAACACTCTTTTGATTTATTTTCAGTGGATGTTTCCATTTCTTAAGTGGTACAAAGAAAAGTAATTTAGACATGGATCAAAACACCCCAACTAGAAGAGACTCCAAACAGTATTTCTGAGGATCACCCAAGTTAGGGCAAAGCAAAAAGAAAAAAACCTGAAGATGTAGCACATGCAAATACAGTGATGTCATGCCTGGCATTAAAATCTTTGTCTTTTACGAGGATGAGCAAAACCTGCTGTGCTCTCATTCCAGCCTGGAGCAGTTTGAAACTGGTTTGAAAATGCAAAAGGAAGTTAGTAACTTTACTATATTTCATAATGGCTTCTTTTAACTTTTAATAAAAACACAAAAAAAACTTTCCCCCACAAGAAGAAAGAACCAAAACRTGACTCTACAAACTCTGGCTGTTTCATAAAATGGATTATTCATTTTACAGAYACTGTCTAGAAATTGGTTAGTTGTAACTAATAGAAATAGTTGGTTGCAACTAATAWAAAAGGAAAAAAAGTAAGTGGAACTTTGAGAGAAGGCGATTCGAAGCAGTGTGCTCCATTCACACACTGACAGCAGGAAATGTCCTGTGACAAAACTCTGACAGGTGAACTCATGGAGCGGACAGGCAGGAAAAAAATGTCATTTTACAAAAGTGCGTAATCACAAGGTCTTTGGGCTGATAACTGAGCTAYACACAGCTATCAATGCTTTCTGGCACTGAGTTCATCATGGATACAAGAGAGGACAAACATGGGAGAGCTCTTGGCCATTGTTTTCTGCAGAAGCCTGAGGGGATAACTCACATACGGGGGACAAAGTGAAATAAGGACCAGCCAATTCTTAACATTTACATTCTTCCCAATTGCTGGCCAGTACCTTGCTTTCCCTGATCCAGAGATCATTTTGCAATTCTGTGTTTCAAAGAGAGGCTGAGTTCATACAAYATACTGAAGCCACATCTATATTAGAAAGGCTTCGCCAGGACTGAAACACACTACACTGGCAAAGCACTTCAGTCACAGATACCTCTTAAACAGTAATATTACTCATCTACTCATCTAATAAAATCACGGCAGCACACACCACTCTTAACTCACATGCCATTTCCCAGTTAAGGCTGCGAGGTGTCTGCTAGAGACATCAGACCTCCTCTAATCACATCTGCKCCTGCACGATCACCCCAGTCCCAGCCAGGAGGGACAAACCCGCACAACGTTTAATCCGTAGTTAAAAAAAAAAGAAAGCAACTCATGACAGCCTTGTGTTGAGACCCTGCTGTTGCTGCAGAAGATGCCCTGTGCTGCCAGAAATGCAGCTTCTCAAGGCACTGCACACTCTGCCACTCTCACCCGCAGCTCCCCACTGCTGTTGCGGGACCCGGCGGGCAGGAACTGCTGATTGTCCAGCATTCCTGATCACCAGGTCACTTTCCCACCCAGCCAAGAGTCCTCCTCTTCCCTCCCACTCCTACTTCTTCGGATGTTTTCTCCCCTTTGGCTCTCCATCTTCCAACGCAAAACTTTTGCTATGTTTCCCTGCACGGCAGRACCGTCACAAGTTCACAGGGTTTCAGAGGAGCACCTGCCCCCAGACAGGATGGGGAGCGGCCATCGGAGAAGTGTTTGAGCAGCCAAGGGGGGAGGAAATCAGAGCCATGCTCCGCCCCACCGGCCGTCTCCCTCAGGAGGGATTCCCAGGCTCTGAGCGAACAAAAGTGCTCAGGGAAAGAGCTGGGCATRTGAATACCCCGAAGTCAGACAGGTACATCTCTACAGCATTTCCAAGTTCTATTCCAAGCAAAGAGGGTGGAAAAAAAATCAGTGTCCTTCCCTGTCGTCCTCATCCCAGAGGGAGAGAGAGAGAACGGGGGGGAAAGAAAGGAGACGGCTCTGTGATGTCTTTGGAAACCGCCTAAAACAAACGGGAAAGTCACCCCTCATTAAAAAAAAAAAAAAAAGTGGATGCAACGTACCAAAGCCCGAATTCCCTAAATCTCCCCATTCCGAGGAAAATAAAATGCCACAGGAAGGCAGAGCCTTTCACCGAGGGTGGAGGAGGGATGGAGCGGGGTGCCCGGCTCTGCCCCGCCGCGGTCCCGGCTCGGTGCCGCCGCTCCGCCTCGCCGCTCCCCGCAGTTATCGGCAGCGAACCCCGCACCACGACCACGCCGTCACGGGTGGGAGGGGGGCTGCCAAAGAGGGCAGGGAGGGCAGGAGGAAAAAAAAAAAAAAGAAATCGTAAATTAAACCAGAAGAAACCGCTGCCAAGTGCGGCCGCGGGCGCGGAGCCACGCGCGGCGGCGGCGCCGGCCCCTCCCGCGCCCCGGGGCGGCTCTGCCCCCCCGGCCCGGGAGCCCGCGGCTCCTCGTCAGGGACCGCGCTGACAAAATCCCCTGCTCGCCTCTACGTAACGCCCTGTCGAAAGCGGACGCCATATTTTGTGTTGCTGATGTCGACATAGACAAACGTAGACATGTTTCCCCCCCCCTCCTGCTCGTCCCCCTTCACCCAAACTTGCGATCGGRAGGCGGCGGGGAGCGGGAGAAGGGCGAAGGGAGGGAGACTGCATGACCAAAAATGAGAAATACAGATAAAAAAATTAGAAGCCCACCCCGAACAACCCTCCCGGCTCGCACCCCCGGCGGTCTCCCCCGCCCCCCGCCCCCCCGCAACCTCCCGGCCCCCGCCGAAGTCCAGGGAACCGGACAGTTTCTCGCAGGAGGAAAAGTTGGGTGCGAGCGGTCGGGGCGGGAGCGCCGGCGAGCGTCCGTGCGCAGGGAGGGGGCGGCTGGGGAGCGCCGCGCACCGGGGGAGGGGGCCCCGCCTGGGAAGTTTCCTACCTGCGCCCAGGGCGGCGGCACCGACTGTCCCGGGCGGAGCGGCACCGGGGTTCAGCTCCGCGCCGCTCCGCTCCGTGCGCCGCCCGCGGCCGCGGGACCCCGCGCCCCC